AAAAGCTGACTTTGGATAACATTACATATTTGTATTATAATAAAATTTATGCTCATTCTCTTTTAAATAACTAAAAGTTATACTGTATTTCTTAAAGCATCTAAATCTGCATGGCAAAGGAGACAGATTATCATAAAAGTTGCAAGGTGAAGTCAGACTGGGTTTTAAAGATTTCATCCAGATCATCGTGAACTTACTATTAATCTTTTGATAATCCTTAAATGTTTAAATTAATCCAGAAAAGTTTAAGTTAAGGCTTTACCAAAAGGTTTATACTTAGTTATATATAAAAATGATTTCTAGACGGCGCCTAGAGTTCAGTGGGTAGGGCGCTGGCCATATACACTGGGGCCGGTAGGCTGGAACCCAGCCTGGGACAACTAAAACAATGACAACTGCAACAACAACAAAAAATAGCTGGGCATTGTGGCAGGCGTCTGTAGTCCAGCTACTTGGGAGGCTGAGGCAAGAGAATGGCCTAAGACCAAGTGTTGAGCTGCTGTGAATTGTGACGCCATAGCACTCTACCCAGGGTGACACAGTGAGAGTCTTAAAAAAAAAAAAGATTTCTATTAAACAGCATATGAGAACTTAAAGAAGCGCAAATGAATATAGTTGGCTCTCCCTATCCGTGGTTCCCACATCTGGGGATTTAACCAACGGCAGACAGAAAATATTCCGGAGGAAAAAAGCCACGACCGGGCTCAGTGGCTCACGCCTGTATTCCTAGCACTCAACCCTAGGGCATCAGCTGAGACTGTCTCAAAAAAAAATAAATAAATAAAAAATGCAGGGTGGGAAGAAAGAAAAAAAAATACAGGGCAGCACCTGTGGCTCAAAAGAGTAGGGCGCTGGCCCCATATGCTGGAGGTGGTGGGTTCAAACCCAGCCTCAGCCAAAAACTGCCAAAAAAAAAATTAAAAATATAGTATAATAACTAGTTACATAGCATTTACATCAGGTATTATAAGCAATCTAGAGATGATTTAAAGTATAGGGAGGATGTGCTTACGTTACCATATCATTTTATATAAGGGAATTAAGCATTATGGAATTTGCTTAATTCTATGCAAATGGAATCCACGGATTCATGGATATCCACAGATGTCTTGGAAACAGTCCCCACCCCAAGAATAAGGGGACAACTGCATTAACATACTGTAATTATTTTAGTAGCTAGTTTATAATCCAGGAAAGAAGTCGTCAGATCGACTTTACATTACATACTGCCAACACAGTTTAGTCCCCAGATTAAAAATTCTATATGAACATTTTACTAAGAATAGTCAAAGGAACATGGGACAAATTTTGAGTGAAATTTTTAAGTTTTAAAATTAAGCAATAGCAATATTTTGCTGGAAAAGCTATATAAACTTCCAAGGTTAAGCATGCAAAGGAAGTGAAAGCATGAATGGATGCCTTTTAAGGGTGTGGCAAATAGCCTTACAAATGCCTCAGTAACCAGAAAGCATCAGGGTATTGAACAAAAAAATGGCTCTTTAAACAACAGTCACATTCTGACCTTCCAACAGTGTGAAAAGAAAATACCCACAAGCATCAGAGTAAATTTATGTAAAAATGGCTAAAGTTAAGAAGCTGTGTGGACTGCTTACTTTCCAATAATGATAGAGGGGAAACAAATCAGGTATTATTTGGCCATGTACTAGAATTTGTTTTAACAAATAAATATCTGATGTCCACTGAAGAAAAATTTTTAATGAAAAGATGGCTATGAAAAGCTACAAGGGGGGCAACGCCTGTGGCTCAGAGAGTAGGGCACCAGCCCCATATACGGAGGGTGACGGGTTCAAACCCAGCCCCGGCCAAACTGCAACAAAAAAATAGCCAGGTGTGTGGTGGGTGCCTGTAGTCCTAGCTACAGGGAGGCTGAGAGGCAAGAGAATCGCCTAAGTCCAGAAGTTGGAGGTTGCTGTGAGCTGTGTGACGCCACGGCACTCTACAAAGGGCGATAAAGTGAGACTCTGTCTCTACCAAAAAAAAAAAGAGAAAAGAAAAGCTACAAGGATACTTTCAGAAGGCTTTAAGACACACATGTTGCACTACCTAGAATTCCCAGGCTTAAATCTTGAAGCAACTCACACCATTAAATCAAAATAGTTGCTGAGAATCTGAGAGTTCTGTATTGAAAGACCTGAACTGTATTTAGAGATTCCTTTTAATCTAACAGACTTAATTCTGTGTTAGAAACCTACTCAAATTTTCTGTAAAGTGCAGTGAGGTAGGGGAGAAAAACTCCATTATATACAAATACTTTAAAATATAACTCCATGGCTCGGCACCTGTGGCTCAACCGGCTAAGGCACCAGCCACGTACACCTAAGGTGGCGGGTTCGAATCCCCAGCCTGGACCCGCCAAACAACAATGACGGCTGC